TGAGAGGCCAACAATCCTGATCATGCTTTGACTTGATTCGACCTGTTCTCTAGTATATTAAACAATGTGACAATAAGAAAACCAAAGTAAGACCTGTCTCAATGTTCTCGCAACAAGTGCTTCAATGACGGCTCCACGATCATCGTTTAGAAGATGCACCTCGTCAATAATAAGCAACTTCACAAGAGTCGCGAGAGCCATATCACTGGTTTTTCGTGTGATCACATCCCACTTCTCCGGTGTGGTTACGATCATCTGCCAAGGAACGAGTCAGAATCAAAAGTTTGCTGACAAGTTTAAGAACCTGCGTCTCTTCAAGCTCTCTCTTGGTGAGCTGCATGTCACCTGTAAGCTCCTTGACAACAACATTCAGTGGTGCAAGCCTTCGACCAAATGCTGCTGTTACTTCCGCTGCAAGTGCCTTTACAAGCGAAGATTAATCTAAATAACGACGAATCATTCTGATCACCTTCATTGGAGCAATGTAGACGATCTTGAACTCGCTTTTTTGTAGAACTCCAAACTTAAAGTGTTTCCTTATCTAAATAGAATGTGACTATAGACAAAACAGTCTATAAAAGTTTACTTACCTCATGTAGAACCGTGATCATGGCAATGTTAGTTTTTCCGGCTCCTGTCGGTGCACAGACCTGCCAAAGTATAAGAGGATACATGAACCATAATGAGTTTTTCGGGTACCAATATGTTTTCGTTGCTGTTATACGCTGTTGGAAAGATCCGGCTTTGAATGCGATTGAGGGTCTGGTACCCTTGGAAAGCTGCCTGTGATATGTCATCAAGCTCGGAAATTTTAACCTGTCCACCAAAGCAGAAACTTTTCAGCAGAGAAAAATCCATGTTATCCGTACCAGGAATTCTCCAGGCTTCAACGACGATGTTGGTGTGGGTGGTACTCGCACCTCTTCGTAGCCTTTGAAAACCTTTTTCACAGAACCCGGTGGAAGGGATGCCCCGGTCATGCCAGTGAAACCATCACCTTTCCCAACTAGACCTTCTATCCCTTCATCAGGCCTCTCGCTAGCATCAACTACGGCAGAAAATCCACCAGTCCAGTCGAGCTCCGATTCTTCGCCACGTTTTCCATGTCTCTTTTCCTCTTTTCGTCGCAGTTTATCGATCTGGCGATCTAAACTAGTCTGTACGCTAACCTGAAACCATGAAAGGTAAGTTCAAGTTCGCTGCAGAAACTTAGTACCTGAGTGCCATAGCTCGGTACACGTCCTTGGTTTGATTGAGAAGGATTTTCCAATTTCAAACGAGACAGACCCTTGTGAAACGCTTCCACGAGCTCTTTCCTGCACTGCAAGAAGTAAAACTTTAAACAACTGACCATCACAAAGATGGATGGAAAAACCTGGAGCAAAACTTGGATGTGCTCAAATCCGTTATCCCCCATAAGATCAAACAAGTAGCCGGCAATCTGTAAGAGAAGAAAGAAAAAAAACAGCAAGAGAAAACATGAGAGCTTCCAAATTCATTCTTGTTACCTGATCTCCAGAGTCCGATGACTCCAGAACGCGACACACTGCAAAGGCTAGCTCGTCCCCAGACTCTTTACATATGTCTTGCACCCATCGAAGATTTACAATGGCCGGAGGATCTTCCCTTGGCTTCGTGAATCTCGTCTCAACTCGCTTCTCCTCCTTGCAAGGCGCCCGAAAATCCAAATCGCTTCCAAACTCAACGCCATCCGCCTCTCCTTCCTTGGCAGGCGACGGATAGTGCTGCCGCAACCGCTCCAAAATCCTCATCCGATCGAGGTAGGCCTTGTCCACGTCGAAGATCCGCCCATTCTCGTCGCCGGGAGATCGCAATGCGGCGGTGAGCCGGCGCGCCTTGAATCCAAGCATTACATCTGGAAACGAAGATCGCGAGAGCGCGGCATACCTGCGTCATCGCTCCCTCCATCTCTTAAACCCTAGAAGACCAGACTTATGTTAACATGGCCTCGAGATTAAGCTACCTTTAAACTACGTTTCCTTCCTCAAACAAACTTTCACTTATGCATGGCATCACAAGCATATGTCCATCACCACGTTCGGCAGCTTTGCCAAGAGATCGCTCCTAAAGACTTTATTGAGGCCAGCCTTCTTTCGAGCTTGCTGGATGGACAGACCACAGACAGAGTCTCTTCTTCATCTCAGTTGTAGGCCTTTATCATTCGAAGAAATCCAGCATCTTTACAGACAACCAAGTTCAGGCTCTATGGTCATGCCAATTGTAATTTCAAGGAGAAATTGTTTTTTCTTGTACTTAGTATAAAACTATACGCAAATGTTCTGTTTGTTTTATTTTATTTTTATCTATCTAACCTCTGGCAACCATCCGATCTGAGGCCTGTTTTTCATAAAAAATTTGTGGATGTTCAACCAGAGATCGGCACAGCTTAACTAACGATTAGCTGGTGTGAAAAAGGAGAAATACAACACTATCCTCCCTTGGCAATTCACAGTGAACCTCCCTTGATTCAGGCTGCTTGCATCACACTGGGCAACTCTTCCTGGAGCTACGCCATACCTCCACATCTCCTGGAAAAGCTTCTGGCCCTGCTCAGATCCATCTCACAGCACTGCATGCTGCAATAACCAAGAGGAACGTAAATTCATCCGGCTTAGCACCCTCCTCTAGCAGCTCATCTCCACCACTTTGGCTGCATTGCCTTGGTGGCTAAAGCCTGCTATCAGCATGTTCCACAGAACCACGTCCCTGGATATCACGGAGGAATTTAAGATGTGCTAAGCAGCAGATATACTTCCACACTTGCCATAGAAATCAATGACACTGTTTGTGATTTGCTCTCTAGTCCCCTCTTGCAGATCCCAAATGAACAAGATGGCCACCAAGCCAGAACCCTGGACTCAACACTGCAAGAGTTGCAAAGGAATGTGAAGCTTCTCTTCTTCTAACAGCTTGGCTTAAACTTCAACCAACAATTTAATCCACTCCTGCCAACAATGTGGGCACATTGTACTGACCCAACTGCCTTGCACTGCCGTGTCACTGCTTTGGGTCTGCCTCTCTGGCTCACACCAAGCTGTCATCACTAGACTCTTTGGAATATCCTCTTTTTCAAATATTCTATAAAATCTTGACACATCATCTTGAACCACCAGCAGGAGAAATTCCTGACAATGAAAGTCACATCCTCACAGACCTTCATAGAACACGACGAAGTCACAAGAAAACACGCAATGAAAACCAGGAGAGAAAGCAGCAAATTCTCGTGGATTGAGCAAGATCACATGGACGACAAACACGAAAAGCACGAAAAGGACCAAAAAACAAACACTCTTCATCTTTTAAATTTTGATTTAATCTATATTTCCAAGTAAATTTGACCAAAATATAAATATAAATCTGAACACTAAAATCAATCTAAAAACACTTCTTAAACTCCGCAACTATAAAATTTGTCTGATGGATGTGATGATAGATGTGTTTGTAGGTTAAATATACTTTTTCCTTGTTCTCCCTTTGTATAAAATCTAGATAGGTATAGGATGAATTTTAATAGATTCTAACATTGTACCTTTTGATAACTCAGTCATAACAACAAACTCTTTAACCATATCATTAATGTAATTTGTCTTTATAACTATGCATTTCAACTTATTTGCTAGCTAGATTTTCTTTTGTACATTTTTCAAAATGGAAGATTTATATTGTATAGCTTTCCTATTTCTAACTGGTCATGTATGTTGATCTAATATTGATATTTGTGGCATAACAGTATTAACAACAAGATTTGAGGAAGTCTTTAATTTGAAATTTACTCTTTCCAAACTTTCAATCTCTTCTTTCAAAAGATTGCAATTTTGCTCAACTGGCTACTTTTTGTAAACAATTAAAAAAAATAATTTGAAAGACAATTCATAAGGGTTTAAATATACAGGAAAGGGCTCATGAACAAGAGTGCACCCCCTCTTTCGACCAATTAAAGATCTTAGGATATTTGGGGTTAAGTGTCCTTGGGTTTAAATAGTATTAAGCTGAGTGATCTCCCAGGAAATCTAAACTCAAGGGTTTATATTTGGTATTAGAGTGGGTCTTAGGTCTAACTTTATTGGTTAACTAAGAGAATCATACTATATGTTGAGATTGATATTTGGCAAGTTTAATTTACTTTTCAATACATAAAGGTTTTTGTCAAGCCAATGCAAGACAAAAAAAAAGAGAACTAAAAGCTAGGCCAAGTATGCTCAGCAAGAAACATATAGGAATTCCTACCTTATGTCCATCTAGCTAAGTACATGTGCTAAACCCAATTTACTAACACTTGAACAAAAGGGACTAATAAAAAGAACCAACAATATTGACCTTTTGCTGTCGTGGCAGTAAGGAAAGAATATCCGAAAGGATTAACTGACAGGTAGCTTTCGATACCGAAGTCACATTTGTGACAACTTCCACTAAAAAGGAATATGAGACTAATTGAAAACAACTTTTTATGGGCTGATTAGCTTCTTTAAATTGGAAATGGTAATAATTACGTAAATTTACCCAATTTGCTTTCAGAATCTATTGTATTATCTTACACACAGGCAATAATGTCCTCTATTGTTAATTTTGTTTTCCCATCTTTATAGGATATTTTAGACCCTTATGTTGCATCTAATAGAGTCATACTTACCCCACTTAATGATGATATTTTTCTTATTAATAATGTTAGTCTTTTCCTTACCTAGTGATACACATATTTATAAAAGTATTGACTTTGTTGATACTGAACACCTAGAAGATTATCCAGTTGAATTTTTAAATTCCATTACTCTTTTTGGTCTTTCACTACAGAAACTCTTGCTTAAAGAAGGTATTATCCTTATTCTATTAAAGAATATATGTCCATTGATTAGACTATGCCTCATACTTAAACATGCCTTACCAACAGTTCTAAACTGTGAAATTGTATTAGGCCAATTCAAAAGTCCCTCAAATCACACTTACACCTTTAAACACAGAAATTCCATTTAAAATGTCCATAAGACAATTTCCAGTGCATTTAGGGTATTGCCTTACAATCTCTAAATGTCAAGGCAAACATTTGACCGAGTAGTAATACACTTCCTTTCATCGTCTTCTCTCCACAGCTTGTGTGTGAACTCTTCTCTATCTCCACAGCTTCACGCATTTATCGTGGCTGGCCGACGCAACCATGCCCGTCGCTGGCGACTGTGCCAAGGCCGCAATCAGGCCCTGGTGCGCAGGGATTGTCATGCTTTTGTTCTCAACCATGTTCCACAGCTCCAGAGACTGCGAGACAGCGAAACGTTTACACAACTTTCGAAGAGATTTATCGGTTTCCCTACCTCATAGCAGCCGATGATGAGTAGCGACGGATGGCTCGGGTGGAAGACACAGGAATGGAACTTGTTCTCGTTCGAGCATAGCTCGTAAACGCATTCTCCATCGCCACCGGAGCGGAGAGTCCAGACTCGGACTGAGTCCTTGCTGACAGAAGCCAAGTAGTCACCGGTTTGATCCCAGCATATGGAATGCACTGGCTTTGTGTGCCTCTGGAAGACGGACAGACTCGGTGGTTTGGAAAAAACTCGTATTGATTCGTTTACCTGAAGAGAATGCCTGCATGTCTCGGCATCGACATCGAAGATAGAAACTAGGTTCTCGGCGGCGGCAGCAAGAAGCCTGCCATGACGCGGTTGAAACCGCATTTGAGTCATGCCACCCTGTGAAGATCGACAAAAACCAGTCAACGAAACTCTCAAAGGTAAGAGCTATTCACCTTGAAGACTTTGGTGCAGATGCCCTGGCTTACACTCCAGTACCTGATCTCGCTATCACTGTCGCACGAACACAAGAGGTCTTTGTTCGCTGGATGGAAATCTAAGGACATGACTGATGTTTGATGGCAAGTAAAAGTGCGCAAGGAATAGCTTGGCTGCATGAAAATGAACAAGTCATTACCAAGAGATACGAATAATTCAAGAACTCACATTGTCTGCATGCCATACTCGTACAGTCTCGTCAAAGGATGATGTTGCTAACAGCATCGAATTTGGACTAAACCGAACATCGGTTATCAAAGACGTGTGTTCTTCCAATGTACTCCGGAGTTTTAGCGTGTCCATATTCCAGAGCACGGCCTCCATTGTGAGAGCTCAGAAAAGAAAACTCCCAAATGTGAAGCTCACCTTCTTTTCATGGCCAGCACTGGCCAATAGCTTTCCACTCGAAGAGAAATGGCAGCACACAACTTTATTTGTACTGGCACGAAGACAGCCCACCTCGTTGAACGTAAAATCTGCTACAAATAAAACCTTCAAAAAAAAAAAAGGACACACGAAACTCACCTTTGGAGGCGTCGACATTAGGACTCAGCTTCGTACTGCTAAAGAGATCATCTCAATCAATCCAAGCGTAAGAAACACGATCATCGATCATTTCATCAAGAACCCAGATCACGATAGCGCGAGCTGGAACCACCTGCATTAGTGGCAGCAGCAGTAACTTACATCTTATCTGCCTCCCAGTTGCTCTGTGCCATGGCTTCTGGCACCGAATTGGCGCACGAGCAAGGTGCCGATCGATCAGAAGCTACTGTCGCCAAATGCCAGCCGAAATTTCGCCAGTGCCTACCCTAGCTAGTGCGAGAATGCCGCACGCCCTTGTCCGCCATAGCCACTCTCCGAAGAATGCGAGTGTTGGAGATGCCGAACCTGGCCCAAGCCTAGCTTGCAGATAATAACTTAACTATTCATATATAATAGAGTTTACTTAGTCCTAGATCATTGTTGTTGTTTGTTGACTTTACTTAGATAATAACTTAACTATTCATATATAATAGAGTTTACTTAGTCCTAGATCATTGTTGTTGTTTGTTGACTTTACTTAGATAATAACTTAACTATTCATATATAATAGAGTTTACTTAGTCCTCTTTGCTGTTGTTCTTCTTGTTGTTATTGTTGACTTTGCTTAAATAACTTAAATGTTCATATATAATAGAGTCTACTTAGTCCTCTTGGCATGTAAATAATTGTTGAATATCAACTCTCTAATAATGGAAAGAATGCAGAGTGGTGGTCAAAGGGTACTCTCAAATCTTCTCGCACTAAGAACATAGGATAAGCAAAGCTGGGCTTTGAAAATTATGATGCCTTTGCATCTTGGAGTGGATACCTAGCTTTTCTACATCTTTTATCTCAAGCAGTACTACTTGGAGGTGCAGTTCTTCTTTTGTTCATGCTCATCAAAAAGTAATTGTAAGCTAAAATTTTTAGGTGAAAAATGAATTGTGGATGGCAAAGCAAGCAACTGGCTGGCATGTGGGGAAAGAAATGGGACATGATCCCTGTTCAAACAGCTCCAGTGATAGTGGGAGTAGTACTGATGTGAATGATGATGATGATGTGATCAAAAAAGCAAAAGGCAAACCAAGTGAAGCAAGGATTACTGATTTGTTTCTCCCTCCCGAGAAAGAAACAAAGAAACCGAAGAAGAAAAAGAAGAAAGGTATGAAAGTCCTAAATAATCCTACAAGTTCAAGAGAACTCTAGTAAGAAGCCTTTTTGTTTGCACAACACTTTATATTTATTTCTTGTAGGGGGAACTTCAAGAGCAAGAAATGACATAAAAAATATCTAGGAGTTCTTCTCTCAAGATTTTTCCCATTGTGGTTTTTTTCCTTGAGGGTCTAACTCCTTACCTTTAACTTCCTACTTATTTTAAATGAAATTCAACTTTTATAATGCTTCAACAATTCATGGAATTACTGAAAATCAAAAGTAAACCTGAAGGACTGTGATGCAAGATGGAGTTGTTATGATCTGGTGCAAAAAGATAGAGATATAATCGCCCTAAACTATGCTATGCCACCTCTTGAGGTTTCTCACCACCCATCCACCCCCAAGCTACCTCAAAAGCTCCACAGCACCACCAATTCCTCAACTTACATAGCTCCTTGTGCAATATCTTCCTCACCAACATACTCCCTATGTAACAATTTCATCACCACTTTCATATTACTCTTGTGCAATAAACGATCACAATTAGGTCTATTGTTCTCTACACAAAGCAAAAGAATACTCGCTCCACTATGAGCCCTAAGGTAGGTTAAATCCCTTACCCTAACATGCTTTAATATACCATTCAACCTCCCTTTGACCGACATTCACATGGTCAAAGTTGACACTTAACAATTCTTCCCCCCCAACAAAGTCCTTGTCCCAAGGACAAGTTGTACCAGTGATCACCCTTTCTGGGGAACCCTGCTCAAGCTCTTGGACCATCTTCCATAGTTGTAGGAGGCATTGGGCTCGTCACTCTGAGATAATACACCTTTTAACTAGTTAACATAAAATACCAGATGAATTTTCAGCCCAGCTAGCAGCTACACCTGATAAGCCGCTTTACCAATGTGCTCCAACATTTTATATGGACCAGCATATCAATGGGAAAGTTTGTCATTCTTCCTTGTCTATAAATGCACCAAGGTGTTCCACTGCTCACTTGATGGAAAGATCACTTGCACAAAGATAAGATCACCCACCTTATATTTCCGGAATTGACGATGCTCATTAGCAAACTTGTCCGCTCTATCCTAGGCTGCCTACAAATTTCGTTTGCACACCACTAGAATCTCATCAAGTTTTGTGGCTAAATCAATCGCCTCTAAATCAAGTTTATCTTGAACGTTCTTACTCAAATGCAATCCCAACTCCATATTTGTTCGGGGATGCCTTTCAAATATGGCAAAGTAAGAACATAGCTTAGTTTCACTGTGTTGGCTATTGTTGTAAGTAAATTGCATGAATGGAAGATATAGATCTTATTGTCTTTACCTTTGACCAACGCTACAACATAATATATCCTCCACCACCTAATTCACACATTCGGTTTGCCCATTCATTTGAGGATGATTTCCACTCGAGAGTTTCAAAGTCATTTGCATAGCCTTCGTAAAGCTCTTCCAAAATCCACTTGTGAACTTTGAATCTTAATCACCAATGATGTCCTCCGGCAAACCAAAATAAAAAAAAAGCTTCTCCAAGTAGACCGCAGCCAAGTTTGAGGCAGTGATTGTCTTCTAAAGAGCCAACAACCACACATACTTCGTCAACTAATCCACAATGACCCATACTTTCTCCTTTTGCCTTTGTGTTTGTGGCAAACAAGTGATGAAGTCAATAGAGATATTACACTAACAACTCTGAGGAATAGATAAAGGTTGCAAAAGTCTCCTCAGCCTCTCCCATGGTACCTTAATCCGCTGACAGAATTCACATGATTTACAATACTCGAGGATATCAGTCTTCATATTCCTCCAATAAAAATTGCGCTTAATCAACTCATATGTTTTCTTCCCCCCAAAATGACTGGTCTCTGGACGATCATGATAGTGGTATACAACTTGAGCAATTAATGCATCCACCCATGGCAAATATATATGGCCATTATAGTAGAGAATCCCATCCACTAATGAGAAAGGGGCGTCCATCTGGTCTCGCAAAAAGACTACCTTAGCATCCTGAGCTTGAGCATGCTCAACCAACTACCTAAACTCGCTATCCACTTTACTCAAATGATGACAAAACCGTGTTTGTAATGCTGTCACATGACGAACACGAGATAAAGCATCCGCCACCACATTTGATTTTCCCGGATGATACTCAATAGAAAACTCCCCAAACTCCATGAGTTTGACCATCCAATGAACTTGTTTAGTGTTCAACTCCTTCTATATGAAAAGATACACAAGTGGTTTGTGATCCGTCAACACCACAAACACTGCACCATAAAGATAATGCCACCACGTCCGCAAAGCATAAACAATAGAGAGTAACTCTTGTTCATATGTGGAATAATGTTGTTCTGCGGGATTCAAAGTTCAACTCTTATATACGATAAGCTGTCCCTCTTGCATGAGAACTCCTCCTAATGCATAACCACTTGCATCGCATGTCACATCGTAAGGTTTTGATGGATCAGCAATGTGAAGCACTAGAGTCTTGCTCAATAATTGTTTCAACGCCACAAAACTCTCCTCTTATGGCTTCTTCCACTCGAATGGCATGTTCTTACACAACAACTATGTCAAAGGAATAACCACCTCTGCAAACTTATGCTGGAAACATCGGTAGTAACTAGCTATACCAAGAAAATTGCATAACTTAGCCACTATAGTCGGTGTAGGCCAGTTTTCCACCACAGCCACTTTCCTTAGATCCGTCTTGACACCCCACACTTGGCAGTACGCCCAAGCTAGCCCTTCCGGCCAAGGGTCCATAGCAACTAAGACTGGGTGTCCCCATCTCATTCATCACGTCTTTGGTGCCACTTGCACCAAAGTGTTCAACTTAGATATGCCAAGCTTTTACATTAAGCAATCTAACCGTGTATCATGACTTTGGGGCATCTCTTGTTTGGCGGTGTGCCCAAGCTAGTCTCCTTACTGAGAGTCCATGACCATCGAAAAATGAGTGTCCTCATATTCCAACTCATCACCATGCCCTAGTGAGTTGGGACTCGAACCCAAGCACTAAAGGGTTGGGACTCAAACCCAACCTCTGTATATGCATCTACAGATGGCATCACCCAGGATGTCTGGCGTGACTCCCCATGCTGGTGGACCAACTTATACTTAAAGTGCGCTATAGATCACAATTTAGGAACCTAGTTCCTCTGCACTACCAACTTGGATAGTATCTCGCCAAACTGAGAAAGGAACAAACATCTGATACAGTGATTGGGACTTCCCAAGACTTCACCTCTTCCACCTTCTTTGAATCCACCTCAATTACACACCACCAACTATATGTTTGAGAAAGTTTATGTGCAATTGTCCAAAAGCACATTTACTTTCTTTAGCATACAATTTGTATTCACGTGATTTCTGAAACACCAGCTCCAAGTGTTTCAAATGATCCTCCAATGTTTCACTGAAAACTAAAACATCTCCAAATATAATCTCCAAATATTCTATCCATCATAGTGCTGAACATTGCTAGAGCATTGCATAACCCAAATGGCATGACAAAAAACTCATAAGATCTGTATCGAGTCTTAAAGAATGTCTTCTCCATATCCTGATCTACCACCCATATTTGATGATACCCGGATCGCAAATCAAGTTGCATAAAATACTTAGTCTTTTAGAGTTGGTTAAACAATTCATCAATGCAAGGCAAAAAGTAATTATTTTGACCATGATCTTGTTGAGTGCTCAATAGTCGATACATATCCTCATGGTTCCATCCTTTTTCATAACAAAAAGGGCCGGTGCTCCATAAGATGACTTGCTTAGTCAGATATGACCTTTGTCAAGAAGCTCCATAAGTTACTTCTTGAGTTCAACTATCTCCTTGATGTTCAAACAATATGGAGCTTTTGTAGGCGGTTTAGAACCCAAAATGACCTCAATCCGATAATCAATCTCACAGCTAGGAGGTAGCTATGGCAACAAATCCTTCGAGAAGATATCCTGATTCCATGCCAACAACTCCAATATCTTCTTTAGTACAAGATCAACCCTGTCACTGATTCAAATTGAGTCACCATCACTTGAACCCAAAAGGTCTAATATCCCTTCTTAGCTGCTTTTTGAGCAACTCTCCCAGTCAGG